TGCCTGGGACTGCACTGGTTACAAGTACTCGGCTCTTTTCATGGCATGGTTTAAAAGGTGTTCATGACCAAGGAAAACTGTTTCATCATTCAACTGTAGTATAGCGGCGCGTAACTCCAAATCCATAGAATCTCAAGAAGTCATAAGATCCAATTCCTCTAACCTACAAACATAACAGCTACTTTAGAAAAATTCCAAAGAGGGTGATATTTACTTACTATACGTGTTTAACATTTAAAAAATCTAAAATAAGTTCATAAACACAATATTGATAGGACATGAATTTATGTGAAATACAGTAAACTTAAGATTCCATTCTTCCTCCTTTTCCATTTCACTCCTTTTTTTCCTACTGTGTGTTTAAACCTAAAAAGGCCACTTCCTCTGTGGGTTCTCCCGATCACCTGTTCTGCACACCTACAGTTTGAGCACAAATCTAAACAAACCGGCTTCACCAGTGCCCAGGGGGCAGGCTGTAGTCTTTGAGGAGGACCTGGCCTCTGTCCAGGCCAAACCCTAAGGATGAAGGACAGGCTAATAAAGGAAGAGAATTTGTGTTCTTCCCCATCCTTCTCTCTCATGTTTGCAGTCCAACTCCCACCACATTCCAAATGTGATCATTTTAAATTAGAGGTATTTTTTTTAAAAACAAAAAACCCCATAGATCCCTTTATAAATCTAATGAAAGCTATGAACTATCTCCCCAGAAATACGTGTGCACATAAATGCATGGACACGCATACACACATGTGCTCAGCTGCACACCATACTTCTAGGTTAAAAAGCTCTATGTAAATGATACTTGACGGGGTTATTCGGTTTTGTCATATCTATGTGGGTATCAATATTCTCATATGCTTTGCCATAAAGAGTACAATTTAACCATCATTAAAAAGCAACTTTAAGTAATATTTACTTACTACTTCCTTGCCTATAAAAGCAAATACTCCAGTGGTTACTTCAGCAGCAAATATCACCAGCAGGCAGGTGAAAAACTGTAGAGAAGAGAAAAATACAAACTTCATTAATTCAATACCTTTTCAGTTTATTTAACCTCTTTGATTCTAGTTCCATTTGCAAAACATTGGGCAAGGTTATTAGTCTGAACGGCTCTAGCAGGAAGCGTTTGGCCCCTTACGGTGCTTGCAGTTTGTTCACTCATTCATTCACTCATTAATTCATTCAGCAATTGTTTACCAAGCATTTGCTCTGAGCCAGGTACTGCCCATGGTGCTGGGTATGCAGTGGTGAAAGAGATAAGATCTCAGTGTTTCTGCGACCATGGACCTCACAGCAGAAAGGGGAAGCTATGATTAAGTAAGCAAGCAATAAAAAAAGTGGGTAAGATAATTTCAGATAGTGACATAGAAATCCCACTTCCTAGAACTGTGCCTGGGGTCCGTACGTTCAGTGAATACTTGATGAACAAAAGAGGTTCTATAAAGATATAAAATAGGACTAGGAGACGGAGTGTGACTGGTGGGGCCTGGGTTTGGGGAGGGTGTGAGCTGAGACCGCGTGATCTGGAAGGCTTCTCTGAGGCGAAAGTGGGTGGAGGTGAAGAGTGTCCTTCTGGACGGATTTCTGTTCTGGTCTCTTGGGTCTGCTCTGATCAAACTAAGTTCAGTGATAAATAAGACATGAGATGCTCCCCAAGAGGGGAAAGAGAAAGAATGGAGAACTTAGGAAACTTACACAGCAAAAGATCAAAAGAAGCAGCCACAGTTAAAACGGCAAAGACGGCAGTGAGCAAGGAGAGGCTGGCTGATAAAACTGCCATTCCCGACTCCTCATGGAGCAACACAAAACCTTTCTTCCCACCTCTCTTCTTCCTTCGGTCATACTGGCCCTGGATGTATAACGTTTGACTGAAATTATTTCTTTCTTCTTTTCTTTTCTCTTTTAAACAGAGGCTGCTTGTTAAAATAAACCAGAATAGGGGTGCTTGGTCAAGTTACGGATCTCAAACAGCAACGCTTTTCTTGCACGTAACGGCACTTCCCCAGCTGCAAGGATCTTGCAGCTGCCTCCTTCACTGTGAAACATTATCAGGCATTTTCCTCCCAAACATCGTCATAACTAATGACCTAATTTTTTTTCCCACTTTCCATTGAGATAGGGACAAAGATAATATTTTTGCAAGAGACGGAGAAAGCAAGACTCAGGGAGAGGGAGTGAGTTCCAGTCCCAGTGGGTCTGAGGAGCTGGCTGGCGCTGGAGGCCAGTCGTCCAGCTCCCTTAAAACCAAGTCCCTCCCGCCATGTCCCACTTACAGATCCAAGAACACACTGCGACTCCCGCATGGCTCCGCAGCACCCGAAAAAGCCCACGGCCATCATCAGGGCGCCTGCTCCAACCAGCACATAGAGCCCTGCGGGGAAGAGACCAGAGAAGACACTGACCACTCTGGGTCTGCTCTTTCCCTGAACACCAGCGCTAGCCACTGCCCCAGGGGTCCCACCCAGCAGAGCGTTCGGTTGTTAATACTATAATGGTAACCCTTGTGGAATGCTTGCTGAGTGCTTCATACACCTGACTTAACCTGCACAAGGATCCTGAGGGGGAGGGGCTTACTATGATCCCCAGGGAACAAAGAAAGCCCATGCTTACAGAGGGGAAGGGACCTGCTCAGGGTCACACAACCAGCAAGGATTGGAAACCACATCTGTTCCTACATGCCAGGCACATAACCTTTCAGATTTCCACCAGCCCTATAAAGTGGGTGTTAGTACCATTCACGTGAAGTTGATGGAATTGAGCCCAGGGTGGTGAGCAGCCAGTGTCAGAGCTGGGATTCAAACCCACGCCTCAGGAGCCCTGTGGCCTCTCGTGACACTCTGAAATTAGTGGCTGTCTCCATCTGTGAGGACAAAGTGTCTGGAAGGGAAAGGGGGCGGATGATCTGCCCAGGCACAGATGGGGAAGCAGGGAAGCGGGGACAGAAGAGGGGGGGCTTCTGGTTAAGGAGAGGAGGGGAGGACACAGCAGTAAGGCAGTAAGATTTTGTGTGCATTATAAACTTTAGAGGGCAATTGCATATACCCTGGACATGGGCAAGGTTGTTAAGCTACGAGAAAACAGCCAATTAGCCAGTAAGTGGAGGTAATAAGGTAATATACACCAAATAATGTTATTATCAATATCATATTGGCTGCATTTATTAAGGGCTAATTTTTTCCAGTCACTGTTCTAACCACCTAGTACAGATCTGTTAGTTTAATCTTCATGAAGCAGGTACCATTATTGTCTCTATTTTTTAGACAGAGGAACGGGGCCCCCAAAAGGTTAAGCGATTTGCCCAAGATCATAGAACTGGGATAAAACACCCATCTGCCCCTAAAGCCAGCTCATCACCATCACCCCACCCTCCTCTGTAACAGTAACAGCAGCCTTAATGTGGTGGTAATTTCACTTAGTTCCCAAGTCAAGCCACAGGAACAGCCGTTCTTACAGAGAAAGAAGAGGGCAGAAACGTCATGTTCTTGTTCTGAGGGAAATCAAGCCAAGCCTTCTTTGATTTCCTTTTCTGATCCTGAGATAAGTTAGAACACAGTATGGGGCCTGGCACTAGACTTGCTTAGAATAAAGCTAATCGCCGCTATTTTCAGCATTTTTCATCTGAGTCACCTGGAAACCACTCCCATTCAGGAGAGGGAGGGGAGCTGGCCCCACCTCTGCGGGGAAACCCTGGGGCTGGCCTGCAGGGTGCCTCCGGGAACCCTCTGGTGCTGGCGGTGGTTTGTGGGCAGACTCTGTTCTGCCAGAGCGGGCAGCGGGCCAGGCTGCTTGGCTTCCTGTACCACCCAGGCTGCTTTCGGGCCCTTCTCAGGGTCAGGGAAGCCCTGCTGCTCCCAGCTCCTAAGACAGGTATTTATTTATTTCCTGCTATGCAGGCTCTGCCACTTCCTTCCTTTATTTTTCTTAAAAAAAAGAAAAAAACCCCCCAAAACAAAACAAAACAAAAAAACCCATAGGGAATGGATGTGGTAATGAGAAGTGATACTATATTAAAAATAATACTATTGTTGGCGCCACTGCCCAAACACCTTAACGTTAAAAAAATTTTCTTTATTTTTCAAAGCTCTTGAATTTCTATCATCTCCTTGGCTTGTCGAAACATCCCCACTAAGTAAGGCAAGTATTACATGTATTTCTGTTTTACTAACGAGGGTCAGAGGCAGGAAGGTTCCAGGCAGGACACACAGGCCCAGAGCTCCCATTCCCACCCCACTGGTAATGTTCCCTCACAGAATGTCTCAGGGGTGGGCCACCTTAGCATGTTTATTTCCTGCTTACAACATTCATTATCTCCCTGTTGCTACATGATGCAGCCTGCAGATCCTGCTTGGAGTCACAGCCCAGAGACTAGACCCACTGGGACCCTTATCCATCCCACACTCCAGCCATGTGGGAATCCACCAGGATCTGACCTGCCTGCCCTTCCACGTTGTGCCTTTGTGGGTTCTCATGCATGTCTTTCTCTGCAGATGTTAAGTCCACAAGCAAACCTTATTCACCCTACCTAGAATAATGCCAGGCACAACACAGAATTCTTGATCAGTGTTTGTTGGATAAGAGGATAAAGAGACAGCAGATCAAATCTGAAGTTCTGTCTGCTGTCAGCCATCTTTGCTTAGAGGTACATGCCTGGAATACCTCTCAACAAGCATCCAAAGACGCCGCCACAGGGCTACGCTCTCTCATGGTCAGGCAGGTGAGGACATGGCTGTGTGCCCTGCAGAAGGGCTCCTGAGAGTGTGGAATCTAGGAAGGAGGGTTACTCCTGAGGAGATGGGGGTACAGTAAACCAAGACACCTGGTGCTGAGGAGGACAGAAAAGCTCCCCACTGAAAACCAGCTCGCTCTGTCCCTTGGCCAAAAAGAGCTCCCCAAGAAAATTCCTTTATTTGCATAATAGTCCATTCTTGGGCTGTCAGAATTGCAGCGCTCGCAGCAAACATCCTGAAACTGTCCCAGCATTCCCAGAGCCCTCTCCCCAGCAAGCCTCTGTGTGCATGTGGGGCCACGTGACTCAGCCCAGTGCCAAATGGGCACTGCTGGTTGGAGCTGAAGGGAAAGTCAGATGAAATTTTACACATGGCAAATTTCTTGGGCCTGCTGATTCCAGTTCCAAATCTGGTTGTAATACTCTGCACACCACGAAGCCACTTGTAACTTCCAAGGATACCTTATCCTTTTTCTGATCTGGCCCCCAAAACATAGATGTTGAATGAATATGTTCATTGACAGTCACATTTGAATTCTAAGGTGGTTTCTGTAGAGCCCTCTTGCTCCCACAGCAGCCTTCTGACAAGCATATGACCTATTTTCCAATCCCCCATGCTTTCCCAGTCCTATTTTCCTTGATCTGAAAAGGAGAAAACACTTTGAAATTGCATTTTTATCATTAATAGCTGGGCCCAGCAATGCCAGAGATCTCCAGGTGACATGCTACCGCCAATGCCCTGACAGTTCCATCCCTTGTTTCTTATGTTTCAGATTCTTCTTCCTAAGCTAGAAGCATCACTGAACACAGAAAGGAGACGGAGAGCTCCCAGAAGCCTTGTCTGCATCAACTCATTTTAAAACGGCTCCCCTTTTAGGGACTGGATAGTGGCATGGTCATCAATTTTAGTGCCTTTTTGGCAGCAGATGATTTTACATATCTGGCCAATGACCATTTTTCATCTAAAAATATTTTTCTCTGCCTCTGTGCAACTTTCCCTTCCTCTCAACTTGCCCTGGGTGCACATCGTTCTATACGCGTTACGAATATTGGATGGGACTTAGTTAATGCGGAAGGTAAGGACCTGGGTCCTCTCCAGGTAGCAGCAGCAGCTGGTGGTTATCCAGCGCTGCTCTAAGCGCTTCACATGTGTTAGCCATGGGGTCCTTTGACACTGAGAGCAACAACACCCAGTGCCTGAGCTGCTTCGTGCAGCATCTGTACTGCGCATGTGACAGGTGTGAGCTCAAACCGCTGCTTGAGAAGCCTCAGTGCTACCAGCCAGTCTCTCATCCTGACTGCGTGGCATCCAAACCACTCCTTTATCTTTCCCTCTCCCACCCTCCCGTGTAATTGTGCCTCCTGCAGGCTGACCGCCTCAGCCCGCCTTCCCTGCGCTAGTAATGGCTAATTTTGACTGAGGGCTCACTGTACAACAGGCGCTGCCTTCAAGCTCGCTCACTGGTTAAATCGTCTCATATTCACATCAACCCTGAATATGAATTCATGAGGAATCTGAGACACAGAGAATTGAGCAGTTTACCTACGACTGCACAGCTATTGAGGGGCAAAACTGGTACTGAACCCAGGATTTACTCCACAGTGCACCCCCTAACTCCTAAGCTGCATTTTTGGTAGGAACTCAGAAGAATGGTGACTCTCTTAGCTAGAAAGCTGTTACTTCTGTGATTTATAAATGGCAAGAGTGTTCTTTTTCTTCTTCCTGGAGAAAAGGGCCTGAGTGTTCTATCACGGGTGATTTCTGGGTTTTCTTCTGAAAGCACAGGGCTGGAAGCCAGAAATCCAGGCCTGCCAACTGTGGTTTCAGGTGAATCCTCTTATTCCTCAGTTTTGTTATCTGCACTATGGCAATAATTATCTGCTAGTTAACTTCTTGTAAACATGCTTTGGAGAAATTGTCTCAACAATGTGAGCTACGGCATGTTTGTCCTGCAGCTACTGTAAATCTCAGGTACAACTGGAAACCAAGAACTAAAAACATAGCAACCGAGTGACTCCGAGGTTTTAAAAAGGCAAGCCAGCCCCTCAACACTCAGCACTGGAATTCTTTCCTCACATTTGACATCCAGCCACAGTCAAAGCCATGCTCTGTGACTCTGGAGTCAACAGGGAAAGACAGCCGCAGTCAGCCAGTGACCCCGGAGAGTGAGTGGCTGCAGCTTGTGGGCAGCCCCTTCATGGAGAAACCCGCTGATGCCCTCTGTCCTCTGCTCACAGACATGACTTCAGGTTCCAGCCTTCTGAGGGCCAAGGGGACCGCTCCCGACTCTGCACTCCTGCAAAGAAGGCCCCTGCTGTGTCTGTACCCACCAAGGGGCAGTCCCAGAGACCAGCTGTAACACGGAGGCCGAGGGGCAGGTTGGTGGAATCTGGAAGATATTGGGGGCTTCTCCCAGGAACCCACTGAAGGAGATTAACATGAGGAGGGCCTGGGAAACACCAAACCTCCCAGCCATTCGTGCTGCCAGCTCCACCTTGCCAGTTTCTCCTTTCTCCATGTTGGCGACCAGTGGACACGACTCCCTGGATCAGCTCACTCCGTGAGAAGAGGTGGCAGGAGCTCTCAGCCTGACTACCCTGGCCCCCGTCCTCATTTCCATCTCCCTTCATGGCCAGATCCTCTT